AACCTATATTTTTCTAAAAGCCCTGGTCTTGAGCTATCTAAAGATGATGAGATATAAAGTATTAGATATGTTTTATTAATATCAGACAATTTAAATAATATTTATTTTATTATAATTATAAAATTTAAAATTGTACCAAATTAAATAATTGCGTCAACATCATTTTACTCCAATATAATTGTGTCAATTGGAAATTGTCAAGTCACATGATTGCGTCATATGCATTTAATTGCACCAAAATTGTATAATTGCGCCATAATTGCGTCATGCGTCACATTAATTGTGCCATTGTAAAAATTTTAAATAATTGCATCACCAGTAAATCAATTTCTACCACATGTATAGCATGGATAATACAAGAAATAGTATCAAAGCAATAGACAAAAATCTTAAAAGAAATAAACAAACAAAAAGCAGAGAAGGCAATTAAAGAAATAAACAGAACAATCGAACAAGAAGCAAAAAATATCTGAAAAAAAAAATCAAATGGTGAGGGAGTGGGAAAAGGAAAATGGAATTGAAAAGAGAAAAAAAGAAAAAAAAAAAAAAATTATAAAATGAATAAAGAAAATAAAGAAAACATAAAAAGAAGGATATAGGGAAATAAATATAAATGAGAAAGATGAAAATTGTAAATATATAATAGAATGGTTAAACAGAAACAAAAAGGAGAAATAAAAATCGAACAAATAGAGCTAAGATAAGCTTGGTTAGCAAGCATGATGGCAGGCTATACCCGGATGGTCTATGGTATACATGTGGTGGAATTGAATTCAACCATTTTTCAAAAACCGTATTATGGTAGAATTACTAAGTAACATATAGTAAATAATTGGAATTCGTATTTAATTCGGAATCGTATTGTCGATCAAATTTCCTTTTATAGTGTTGCGGACTAACCGGCGAGTCTGTCGCTACTGTTATCTTCTCCGCATAACGTTGATATAAGGTAAGTATCGTTTAATTTAAACTCTTGAGGCGTATAACAATTTGGCCGGTTCTCTTCTACTTATTAACTTTGACACTTCTTGACCTTTAGTTGAACTCTACTAGTCGCTAGGGCTCTCCCAAATCTCCCAGTCGGACCTTAGTTCGTTTAGTCACGTGAGCAAGTTATCGGCGTTTAGACAACAGGCGAAAAGGAACACGGGGTAAGAGTTTATTTTAAACAATAGTTTATTTTCTTTATTGCGAAGATAACGTACAAGACGCTGACCAACCTTTTTACATTATCGAATTGCACATATATTTATATATGCGCCTATTATTTACATGTTTTCATTTGTTTACATTTCTACGCTATTCTAGATTTTTCTCTCTCGTACTTTTTCCCACACAATTTTCCCACCTAAATTTCCCTACTATTCGAGACAACAGGATGACGTAACGTGATTTCGCGTTGCATGCCTGTGCCATTTTTGCCCATAACAATAGAAACATTGCTTGAAGTATGGGTGCTAATATTTTCTCTATTTCTTTATAATATTGGCATTTGATAAGGATTTTATTTGTGCTGATGAAATAATAATATTCCGTGACAAATAGTTGACTGGCATTATAGTTGTATCTTACTTTAATTTAAGTTGTCTAATCATTATATATAATGGCCTAAAATTTAGTTTTGATATTTGATATATATAAGAAAAATCTTTGGAGATATGCTGAAATATTAATTTCTTAAAACCAAGTTGGAATAGGTCTGTATTGACTTGATTTTTATACTTAAAGCAGATTTCATTTTTGAATTATATAGTTTGATAATAAAAAGCTTTGATAATATAAGTTCTTGTCTATTAAGAAACTTAAGGCCTGCTTGGAAGCATATAACGTTATTCAAAGTAGTTTTTCTAATTTTGATTTTTGTTTTAATTAAATTATAACTTTAATTTATTACTGTTTTCAAAATTCTTGAGTCACACAAATTTTGCTACAACTTTTTTTGCAAATATAGTAATTATATATGAAAACTGATCAAAAACACTGTTAAAACTTCTATATGCCTACGATTATTAAACCTTTCTGAAAAGTAGAAAATGCCTATTTAATACAACTTTATCCCTTTACTTAGTTCAAGACAAGAAATACGAGGTTTTACCAGTGATTACAAATGATTACAAATGATTACAAAATAACTATAAGCAATTACAACTGACTATGAGCAATTACAACTGATTATAGATAACTGTAACTTATTATGAAGTAAGTATATACTAATTACAATGCTCTTTTAATATTATTTACTTAGGAAGATACCAATAAGTTTTAGCAATAATTTATTTTGGAAAATAGTATACTGTATCTGCATTATGATAGGTATTCAAACAAAAAAATAAAAAATCTCTTATATATTTTTCAGGCTACTGTTGGAAGAGTCTTGAGAATATATAAGAAGTGGGGTTATGTCAAGGATCCTTTTATAGGCCCTAAGGGAAGAAGAAAATTGTTTGATATGAATGATATGGAAATATGTAAATTGGTTTTGTTACTAATTGTTGAACATTATTATAATAATTTTTCTTAAATATTCTCAAGTCTTTGATTAAACAGAAGATGAATTGGTATTTAGATAAGTTGGTTTCTGAAATGAAAAGACTTACTGGAAAGACTGTCTCTATACCTACTTTATGGCAATCATTAAAATTTTGCAGAATAACAAGAAAAAAAGGTTTGCTATAATAAGGATTTTATTTATTAAGTTTTGATAAGTAACTAATTATTTCAAATTAGATTAATAAAGTAGCAGCAAAATGAAATGAAATATTTCGAAGTGTTTTTATGACTGTTGTTGGAGAGTATTCTGTAGAGCAATTAATATTCATTGATAAAAGTGCAAAGGATGAAAGATCACTATTTAATGAGTATGGATATACATTAATAAATGAAAAGCTTTAAAAAAAGTTGTTTTTGTTAGAGAAAAATGTTACAGTCTTTTGCCAGCCTTATCATTTGAAGGAATTATTGGATTTGAAATAATAGAAGATAGTTACAATAAGAAGAAGTTTAGAGATTTTATATTTTCCAAAATGATAAAATATAAATTTTATAGTTTGCTTATTACAGCTTTATATTAACTAAATTTTTTAGATTCCAAATATGAATCCATATCCTGGAAGAAACAGTATAATTATACTTGACAATGCTAAGATTTATCATAATCAGGAATAGATTTCAGTTGTTGAAGGATTTGGTGGACATGTGTAGTTTCTTTCTCCATATTCTTTCGATTTTAATCCTATAGAACTTGTGTTTGCTTTTATAAAACAATAATTAAAGAGATGGAAAGATTTTGTTTTTATATGTGAAGATCCTATTTATCCAATAGTAATAGCAAGTACTCAAATTACACCTGACTTAGTTAAATCCTTCTTTCAACATTTTATTTATTATATACCAAATTCATAGCTTTATTATTAAGTAATAAAACAATTTTATTTTTTTTAGAAATTGTGACATCAGATCTTTTTTTCTGTTATACCAATATTAAAATTGGTTAGAGGTAGATTTGTTGCATCTTCTAGAATAAAAAAAAAATCTTTTAGTATCACAAATATAATACATGACTTTGCTTGTATGAGGGTCTCTCGAAGTCCTCTCTAATACTTAGTTTTTTTAAGGCTGAGATGTAATAATTCAGTCATAAGCTTTGCACAGTGTTTAGAATCGTTGTCCTGCTGGAATATCCATTTGCGGTCAAGGACCCTATCAGATTGCTCAAATAAGTTTTAGACAAGTATCTTATAATAGAGCTCACCATTTATGGTTTCCATAAAAGCGTGGAAGCCTATAATTCCTTCACTGCAGAACAAACCCCACACATGAACCTTGAATGGGTATTTTACAACCCCTCAGATCGAAACTGGCTTTCCAGCTTTGCAACAAACCCATGTCATATTGCAAAAACATTTGGAAGGTGGTTTCATCTGAAAAAATTGTTTTATTCCATCGTTTATTTTTGTGTTCTTGTACCCAGG